CAGTGGCAATTTTTCAGTCAGTCATTGCACACACTCTCTTGGTTGTCTTTGTTTGATTAGGAGTAGTTACAGTGTTTATATTTTGAAAAACCCTTGTTTGTAATCTCAATGTTATTAGTCTGTTGAAGTTAATATTCTGAAGAATACCTTGTTTAAATCAAATTTATTTGTGTTTAACAGTGAAGAGAATGATGGAAGTCGGAAAATCTGTCCTCCAGAAAAATAATTTTAGTGACATGAATGATGTAAGGTATGTAATGGAAACCTGTCTACTGAGCATGGTTTTTTACTTTTACTTTTACTTAACTTTAAAATGTTATTTCAGAAATGGTGGCAAAAACTGCAGTATGATTTAATGAAGAAATTGGGTCTACGTTCACTTATTGCATGACTTCTCAAGTAGAATCTGCTGGCATTGAATATAAACTTTTTGTCTGATAGAATTCCAGCACAGATTGCATTCCAGCTCTGAGATTCTTTAACAACCATATCTTGGAATAGGCAGGGCACTTCAAACAACTTACCTAAAAGGCTGCTTTCTCTTTATATGCTGAGAGTATGCTCTAAATCCTAGATGCTAGAAGAGAGGTATAACCTTTGTCCTATTCAAGGGCACTGCATTGTGTTTCAGTCATACCTGCATTCATTTCTTTCAGTGCTGGACCTTGTAGTTTAAGGCAGTGCATTTGATGGCTGAAGTAAACTATAACATAATTTAAACAGTATAGAGAAATAAGGAGATGGGCCTTCATGATTAAAATTGATAGTTGGTTTTCCAGCTGAAAACTTGATAGGATACGTTTAAATACTTGTTCTTGTTTCTTTTTTTAAAAAAATGTGTCTTAAATACAGAGATGTGAGGGAGGAGGTTAATGGGTTTTTGAAAAGTTTTTTTGTGATATAATGAAAAGGCATATTTTTGTTCTTGCCTTTATGTACAAGAAAAATGGGATGAGTTGTGAATTCCATTATCATGTTAAATAACCTGCAATGTTCCACTTCTTCCTGAATTAACATCACTAATATCTTTTACTTCTTTTCCTTTTCTAAAGAATGGGTTTTCACTGGCCTCCATTCTGCTCAATATCCCACTTGCATCTTCATGTTCTGGCCCCAGCCAGTCAGCTAGGATTCTTATCCAGGCTGTATTACAGAATCAATTCCTACTGGTTTATAACGGTGAGTGTAATGCACATGAGCTTTTTGATAGGTTTTCAGTTGCAAGCTGAAAATGTGATGTCTTTCTAACCTTTTAACTTTGACCAATGATTTTTGTTGTTACTGTAATTCTTAATCATGTATATTTTGCATGAACCACTTGAGAAAAACATAATAGCATAAACATTAAGGTTTTTACCTATTACAGGGAATGGAGTCCTAATAACAGCAAACAGTATAGTACTTCTGGATCTTACGTGAAGCTCAGGTTCTGAGATATGCTTCTGTGGACACTTTGTAAATATTTGAGGTTTAATTTAAAAGATTAATGTAAAGGTTATATTCAAATGTGATGGACTGTTTTGTACATATTCTGGTTCATCCAGTGTAGGTGAAAACATATCCACCTAATGATTGCATTTATCAGTTCATCTTGTCATCTTTAGACTAAAACAAGTGTCTGCTTTACAAAAATATTGTTTGTACTGATTTGTGTCAGTTTTTGCTGATTTATGCCAGTGGAGATAAGCAGTGAAACTGAACTGGCACTGACTAAAGCACTTTGAAAATCTCTTTCTTGGGATCTAAAGCTCACTCTCACTGCTTTGATCCAGCAAAGCACCTATCCTTGCGATGTAGCTGCAGCATCCTGGTATAATTACACAGCCCCAAATTAAAGTTGCTAAAAAATGTCTGTCTCATCTAAAGAATATAGACAGCCTCTTACAAAAGAGAAGAAACTTGGCTTCTTCATAGTGGTACCTCGCTGAAGATCTCAGCTAAAAAAAAAGCAGATGTCTGCTGTGTTGTTGAGGATCTTACAAATATTTGGCCCTAAAATAAGTATAGTTGTGTAGTTCTACTGCTTATTATCTTGGATTAGTTCAGGGAGATCTGTATGAAGTCTGGTTATTCAATATGAATGCACTTTAAAAAGTATTTTGCCCCGTTGTCAAGTTGAAAAATGTTCCTGGGTTGGTGCTGGGTTTGGTTTGATTTTGGGTTTTTTTAATTATAGCATCTTGAATGTAGTACTTGTCTCAGAATGCAAATCAGGATTCAGATAACTTCATTTTCAGTTGCTCCATCTTTTACGTAGCTTCATTTACTGCAAAAAACCCACAGTAACTACTGAAGTCCTGTTAAGTTCCTACCCTAAGTAGCTGATTGTATTTTTACTGTGTGTGTTTAAAATACGCCAAACTTAAACTTTTCACCTTTTAATGTAGTTCCTTTGGAGATCTCAATAAAACCTCAAGCACTAGCTCAAATTAAAAGTTTAATTCAGTAGGACTGTCAAAAAAAGGAAAGACTGACAGTAAACTCATCTATTTCAGAAGTGCCCGTGGGCTCAATTTGGCTTGGTTGTTGGCAGACTTCCTCCTGCCCTGAGCCTTTCTGAGGGCTTGGTGAGCTGGTGCTGTTAGTGTACAAAACACAGCTGTCCCAGTTCTGCCCTAGATGTGATATGATGAGAAAAGCCATATAATGAGAAAAGCACATATGAGCGTAGTGACAGGACCAAAGAATGATGTGTATCTCATGACATGAACCACATACACAGACACCCCCAACCTCTCAGCATCTTATGTAGCTGGTGTGCAGCTTGCTGGGTGATGAGAGCTCACAACACTGTGCTCTGGAGCGTCTCACAACAAATCCCAGGTCTCACCACTTGGTTGTTATGAGCACTGTTTTCTTCTGAGGTCTTTAAATTCACAGTGCTTTAATAGATCTGCCATTTATTTGCTCCAGCATCCTCTGACTTCCATAGGTTATGTTAACTCTTCTGATCACAGTGTGGGAGTGTGATAGAAACTGCGAGAGTCTGCTGTTGAAAGCAATTGTTGTATTCTGCTTCTGTTGTATGCTCTGTCTGTAAAAGTGCAAAGTAAATGCTCTGTCAGCGTCACTGTTTTTAAAATGGAATTTTCGGTAAACTGAAGGCCCACGGTGTAGTTAAAACATTTTTTTCTCTCTCTCCTAGGCCGAACAGCTGATTGAGAGACTGCAAAGTGAAAATGCTGCCAGCTGAAAACTTGTGTCATTAGCCAGTTTGAGCTCTGATTTAAGGTTGCAGAGTTTGATGTTGCCAGTAATATTCCAGGATAAAAAAAGCTTTAGTTCCTTATGAGGAAAGGCACAAAGGTTTTGTAACTGCCAACCTTATTCTCCTTTGGATACTTCAGTCTGTATACTTCCCTCGCAATAGCTCAGTGTATTTTAATTATAATTTTATATTTGTGTATATACATGCATAATATACACACACACGCACACAGGCAAAGAACTTCTCCTAATGAAAGGCAGGATAGTCACGGAATGTACTGCAGCTAAGACAACAAGTTACAACTAACAGCATGTACATGGTGCCAGAGGGAGTATTTCTTGTGGAATCAAGCTTTTATTTTCGGGATGCATTGTTCTGGAATTGCAGGTAACATTAAGACATTTAAGTTTCCATCTACATTTGTATGATATGGTAGTTATGCCTAGTTATTAGTAGGTGCATTGCTGAAAGTGCATTACTTTCTGGTGCTAAAACACTTCAACGTTACCTGACTTGTTTGCATCACGATGACATAGTAAATGTCAATACAATATGTGCCCAAGATGTGATAATGCCCTATAACATTGAATATAGTTTATGTGTAAGTGGTTGTACGTTGGACTTAAACGGGTTTTTTTCCCTCTAATATGCACAATATTTGAAAGTAGTTATCGTATGTTTACAAAAAAAGCGAAGAGTTCAGAGGAATGGATTTAATACATTGCTCTTCTGCATGGCAGTAGATACAAAAATCCAAATTTTCTGATATTGTTCTCACTGGAAGTTCCTTGGAGATTACTAATACCTTGGCTGAATTTGGATTCTAAGTGAAGTCATAATAGAAACAGGTCTTTAGTGCAGTTAAGTATGTGGCAGGCTTACATAAGAGCAATGTGATTTGAATTTGGGATAGCAGTGACTCAGCCCAAAACTGGAAAACTCAATTGTTGAGTTGCTTAAGGAACCTGCTGAACATTTGCCATTGCTGTATGACTCTAATTGGGAATGCCAGCACTTTGTTTTTCAATACCATAATAAGGCAGACTGTTTGGAAAGTTAAAACTCTAGAAAACATGGAGTGGATTTTCTTTGTTCACAGAGCGTGTCTTGGTGTCTAACTAACCAAGTGCCCTTACCTGATGCATTTAGATGCAGCTGAGGTGATGATGTCTGTTCCACCTGCAAGCTTCCCTGAATATAATATTCTGTGTTTTCCAGCACCTGTTGCCTTGGTGATACGATGTATTGTAATATTCTTATAGTACTTAAGGGAGTTCCCAGCAGTCTGAAGAACAGCATTTTCTACCTGGAAGAGTTTACACCTCTCTGTTTGTAAGATCTTCTTCCTAATGTCTTGTTATTCTTATTAGTGGGCACTTACATGTAATTTGCAGTCCTTTAGGGTTTTAGTTTCTAACATTTGGTAGGAAAAGTGTGACTTAAAGCCACTGAACTTTACTTCTGTGCAAGAGATGAGGAGGTTTGAGCTGGCTTCTAGCTTTGGGAAATACCCAAACATTAAGGTCTTTCAAGAGTTAATACTGTGCATGTGTTCTGATCTGTAATTAATTTATGTAACTGTACTTAACTGTGACATGTAATATTTAAGTACCAACATGAACTGTTGTCAAAAAGGATTAATAAACAGAATAAATGCTAACCTTGGAATGATCTTCCAGTGCAATGGAATAGTTGACTGGGGGGTTGACCCTAGATAGCCCTTTGCTCACTCTTCACCCTTGACCCCAGCAGGATGGGAGGACAGAAAGAGCAAAATGAGAAAACTCATGGGTTGAGATAAAAGCAGTTTAATGTGTGAAGGAAACTGGAAGAAGAAAGCCAAGGTGTGCAATGCAAAGGTAGTCCTCCCATGACCTCCCACAAGTAGGGCAGTAGCAATCCCCCCACCTCCCCGCCAAAAAAAAAGCCCTCTCCTCAGCTTTTATTGCTGAGCAGACATTATATGGCACAGAATATCCCTGCTGGCCAGTCGGTGTCAGGTGTGCAGGTTGTGCCCACTACACGCTTTTTGCCCACTGGAGAGGGCAGAGCAGAAAAAAGAGAAGGCCTTGATGCTGTGCACGCACTGCTCAGCAATCGCCAGAACACTGCTGTGTTACCAACACTGTTCCAGTCAAACCCAAAACATGGGCTGCTCTGAAGAAAGTCACCTCTGTCCCAGCCAGACTCAGTACGCTGGCAAATGTACACAAAAGCAAAAACGTCAAGTTTTATATCTTAACTTTTGAGAAGGGTTGCACAAGTGATGATAAGACTGGAAAGATAAAAATCTGGATATAATTCTAGCTTCCAGAGCTTTGCTGATGAGTGAGATGGAGAATCTCACTTATCCCTGATAGCAATAGATAGGCCTCAAAACAGCTCAAACAACAAAGTGTTAAACAGAGGAACATTAATTACTGAGGAATGCTCAGCATCTCGTTAGCATTTTTCAGCACAGAACTGTGTTCATTTTCCTTCTACGTTGACAAGCACTCTTGGACTCTGCAGATAATTTTTTTAATTAGGAAAGAAATATTTTGTGAAACACCTAATACTTTGAATACGGTTCTGAACTACTGGCTGTCCTCTGGAACAGGCAGTGGGCAAATCCCATTGACTATGTCACCATCTTCCATAGAAGATTTTAGTTATTTTAAAACTTAAAAAATCATCTGTAGAGCCTTCCAAGGAGCAAAGATCAATAAGCAGAGTGAACACAGTAGCTCTTACTCTCCAAGAGCCTGGAGAAGCAAAGTTGTTTAGCCACTGCCCCAGCTCTGTTCTTTGATCCAGTATTAGCAATCCTGAGAAAAGCTGCTTTTTTGACCTCATGTTTAGAAATGACAAAGCTTTATTTGTACTGTTTTGCTCAATTGTTTTACATAAACTCCCAACCTAATGTGAACCCAAAAAATAATGCTGTTATGCTGAACTACTAAAAGCTTCCTCTGAAAGGATGAAACAGATACACATACAATGCTGTTAAATTAAGAATGAAAGAAAAGTTTGTGTTTTGACTACGGACAGCATTTTTAACAGCTTAAAGTAGTAATAGCTCCTCAAACTATTCCAAAGTCTTTTTAAGTGAGAGCTGTAAATAAAAGCATAAAAATGGGAGAAAATCAGTGAAAACAGTATTTGAAAACTGACAAACTTGGAAACAATAAAATGCTGCTTAAAAACTGTCATTTCAAACTGATGTGCAATATTTATTGAAATGGTGAAAGTGCCTTCAGTGTTTGACAAGACAAACCACAGATAATCCCTATATGATGTACAGTTCAAAACAGATGGAGAGTTCACAACCTTCAAGGGAAAGAAGAGAAAAGACCACTGAGGGAGCTGCCGCAAAGAAGTGAAGTTTAGGAGAGATTTCAAGAGCTGAAAGTTACCTAGAATAGGGCAAGAACACCTTTTAGAGTGTTGGAGTTTACTGCTCCTCACGTGCTAAAATTTTTGCAAAAATAATTCAATAAATTCTGTTTCATTTACTCTAATGGGAGCCTGCTGAAAAAAAAAATTGTGTGTTTACATTCCCATTTCATCTGTAGATGCTAATTAATCACATCACAGATGAGGAAACAGAATTTTATAAAACTTGTAAACTAGTAGCTAAACTGAGTCGTGTCCATTAGATATGATGCATTCATGACTATACAGCCTTCAGGAGTAATTTTTTATTCTGTAGTGGAGTGGGCAAGCTGACCAATTGTATTACCTATCTTTTAGCTGTTTTTTTTGGAATACTGGCTATTAGTGGAAGCACGAGATCAGATTTGTCAACCTGGATGCTGACCCAGTTTGGCAGCTCAGTGTTTATAATCATTGTGTGGGCACATAGAAGGATTTCAGTCACTCTTTCTAGAATGCTCATCTAAAGCTGGCAGGCAGGAAATGTGGCCCTATAATGGCTTAAAAAAATACCACCCCTCTATAAATAATATTTTTTTCTATAATAATCCTTAGTTTCATTCAAAATAAAATGATAGAGCAAGGTTTTTTTAGTTGCTTACAAAGTAGGTAAGACCTTGTTCTGTTTCCATCTGTTTTGATCAGAGGTGTGCTTAAAGATGTACTCAAGGGGTATTTAAACCAACCAGCAGCAGGAGAAAATGCATCAGAGGCTGCATAAGCATCTGCCACTAACTGCTTACAGTAGTCACAGTGACAACTTAGATTGCTCATATTTAACTATTTCAGCCAGCCTTAAGAACTAGTAAGTTTATATAAGCTGGAGTTGCATCTTGGGGTACACACTTGCAGAGTACACACTGCCTCAACTGTGTGTCTTGCCATGGATTATTTGTACAATTTCTAGCAATGTATTACATTTCCTGGTAATTACAACCCCATTAGTTGGCTGGTGACATTTGAAGCACCTGATGCTGCTTCCTGCAAGCTATGTACTAACACTACAGCAGACCTGACTGAATTTCAGAACTGACAGAATTAAACAAAAGTCATTCCATAGCTGCTTTTTAAAAAGCTCGATTTGTTTTGAAATCCAAATGTATGTAAAGACTTCATCTAATGGGAGCTGAAATCTCCTGAGGTGTGCTCACATCACTTTGGCAAAAAATGCTTTTCCAAAAAAATCAAATCATTTTAAATGTCTTAAGATCACAAATGACATGCCTTATTTTCAGCTGCAAGACGTAGATTTATTTGGAAGAAATGGAGGGTTTGAAAACTAAGTGGACACACACCAGCAATGCCTGATGCAGCACATATCCCCCAGTTTCCGACATGGTAAAATTAAGTGGTGATTAAAACCCACCCTTTGTTCCCCCATCCATTTTTTACCTACATCTGACTCCCTTGTTCCCCAGATATACTTATTTCAGCACATTCATTTCTTCCTTTTTTCCTATTTTCATTGTCTTCTCACTAGAAAAAAAAGGAGGCAGAGTGATAATGAAATCTGTATTCTTATTTGCCCAGTCAAAAGGCTTATTTTGATGCAAATCCCAATTGGATGGAAACGTCAAAACAAAAAACCATTCTTTTAGGCTTTTTGCAATAAAGGTTTTTTTATATAAATAGCATAAAGTAACATCACTTTTATCAAGTTCTTAATTTATATTAAATTTTAATATCCTTTTGATGCAAGAGAGTATCTTTAAAGACCCATCAAGTAGTGTAGTTAACACCACACAAAAGCTTTTATTTGCACCGATAAAAACCAGACCTTTAGATTTCTAATTTTACAGCTTTACTGACGGGAACTATTGTAAATACAGCTCCTGATTATTTTTAATAGCACTATTACAACTATTTTATATAATCAATCCTTTTTTTTTCTTTTAAAAAGTTTGGAGAGCTCACAACTGTGCTCTGAAAGCACAGCTTTGCCTTTGGTAAACGAGGTATGGGACAGCACTGCTATATTTTTATTTATGCATTTGGCACTACAGGATCTCTCCTCTCGTAAAAAACATTGCCTCATTTTTGTGAAAGAGCCTTTTTTTTCCTTATGAATGTACAGATGCCCCAGTACAGAATTTCTGTTGTCTTTCACATCTTTATATTGTGGCAACTTACTTCCTATGAAGGGGTATAGCTGAATTCACCAAAAAAACTGCAGAGCTTTGTGACCTTCTAGGGTATGACACAGCATTGGAAGAACAGAAGAGGTAAAAATGGTGTGAGATACAGAAGAAAAAGAACACAGGACACAGAAGGTTTGGAGAAAATATGATTATAAGAATAGGCTATTAAAAACCAGGACTAGTGCAGCTCTCCAAAATACATGCAAGGTGCAACTAATTTAGGAACCATCAAATATCCTTGCTGTGGTATTTTAGTAAGTTTGGGAATTTTTTTCTCCTTCATGAAAATAGCTTCCACTTATTCAGTTTAACAGTGTGAAATTAAACCTAAATATATCCAGGCTCTCTGTCTGAAGAAGTATATGAATGCCCACAAAAGTTTTCAATTTCACGTTTTACAAATCTCAATCCCCCATGCAGCAAGTATTTCACAACTTGCAAGGATCAGTGTTGTATGGTAGGAAGTTAGTTATTTATCCTCAGTAACCTAAAAGCCAGCAGAGTCATTTGTAGAACTGTGATATACATAATAGTAGATGATAAAGACAATCCAATGGCGTGATGGATTGGCTCATCATTTGTGATTTCTGTCCAAATCTCTACATTTTTACAATAATATGCTTTATCCTTCTCACCAATTTTCTCTCCTGCTCATGTCCCAGTAGGTAGCTGAGTTGAAATTCTGTAATGAAAACCTTTCAAGGTGCTATCTAGGTATGTTTGTCCAAATGGAACCATGCAGCAAAATTCATTCCATGACAAAGCCTTATTGTAGTAAAGTGATGACCACATCATCATCTTTTCCTTGCCAAAGCATTTCACCTTCAAAATGAACCAGACCGTGTTTTCTGGCTCTTAACAAGATTCCTACTACTTTGTTGGAAATAGTCACGTATGTTTCAAACAGCTGCCCGAATGTCACACTCACGTGTCCATCTTCTCCCACCTGTCCAGTGCTTCTAATGATCAAGCACAGCTCTTCTACTTCCTTGCCCACGTGTGAATGAGCATCTTTCCCTCTCTGCTCTGTCCGAGACCCTTCAGGGGGTCTCCCATAGGTAGGATCTCCTCGGTGAGTGTGCGCAGGTTTAGATGCAAGCCTGTCGTCATTGCTGAACGGGTTCTTTTTCTGATACTCAATGTGATCCTCTGCCCAGGTCTGCCAACTTCTCCTCAGGTCACCCACTGCACTGGTAGCTTTAGCACTCTGCCCTTTATCTCCTTCCATTTCTTGAAAAACGTTTTATGGTACTCAAGCAGGAAACAAATCAATGACTGCTTGTAACTGCGGTTCTTGGGTGCACTGTCAGCTGTAAAAGAAAAACAACAAATCAGCTCGATAATTTTTGGAGGAGTTTTGCTCAAGCGAGAGGAAAGGCTGCTGAAAAAGACAATAAATATCTGAAGACTTTTTAAGTCCACCCATAATTCTACAGCAATGAAGAAAGTAAAAGTGATTCAGCTGAAATTCAGAAACAACGTTGGAACAGGGTAAGTTATTCGTAAAAGCCTCTGTGCAACACAAACATAGTGCAGTACTTACTTTTCCTGCAATGATGCCTTTTAAAGAACTTTATCCTAGTACCCGGCAGCCTCGCTGACTTCCCAAACAACCTGATGCAGTGCCGGCTGACCCGGGAAGAGAGCAAACCATTCCCCCCGAGAGGCAGCACAGCAACCCATGTAAAGGGGTGGAAAGCCTTTCTCCTGCCTGCGCGCTGATTAAAGGTGGACAAATTCACGCTGTGCTGACAAGGTTCCCACAGACTGTGGAAGTTATTATGCACAGAAAATATTATCTGGAGCTGAAATGGCAGTACATGGTGGGAGCAGGAGGATTTTCCTCATCAGGCACTGCAAAGAGGAGTGGAAATCCCAGTTAGTGAGCGTGTCACTATCTGCAACACCCTATTTAGTGAAGAAGACAAAACCCGAATAGATAGTTCTCCCTTAAAAGGCTGTGCTGCACAGCCATGTCTGCCAGCTACAAGCCACAGGCAGGCTCCAAGGCAAGGGAGCTTGTGCTCCAGAGGGGAAACTGCCTTACCGCTCCGGGTACACGGGCTGCCCACCACCTATGACATTACATGTACTTAGATTATGGGCTATCTGTGAAGTACAGGATTATTTTGATGAATTAGGCACAGACTTTTGCATCCCTACAGAGATCTGAATGTGTTATAACCATGTCTTTGCTGGGTCGTATTTTTCACCTGTTGAAATATGCAAACTAGAGTTTCCATATAGCACATTAGTAGAGCTGATACTTTTACTGACATTTGAACACAAAACCGAGGATTAGTGCTAGTTTTTCTACGGGGAAATGGACAGAAATGCAAATTCTGAACAGTTTAACAACCGAATTATAGAACAGGTATTTCTATAATTTAAAAAGATGGCTGTTTTTAAGGCTGAATTTCATGGATATTTGTCCATACTGGGCAACTTGGCCCAAATTGCACCATGTTGGTGCTGTTGCACATGAATCCATGAGCAGTGACAGAGCTCACCGAATGCCCCAGCAGAATGTGCAAGTCAGTCAAAAAACACTTGTGTTGCCTTTGGGTCCAGAAGAGGGCATGGAGTGAGCAGAAAATGGCAACACAATTGCCACAAAAGAGACCTGAGAATAATAAGCAGCAGCACACATTAAACAGTGGCTTTTCAATCATGCTCTCTCACTTTTAAACTGAAACTCATGATTGGCATATGATCCTATTGTTATATTTTTTTGTGAGAGGAAGGTGGTTAATTCTAGCTTCCTGGATAAATTTCAAGATAAGTAATTACATTTTGTGTACTTAAAATTTTCCTTTAAATTTTAAGGCTAAAAGGCTAAAAAGGACATTTTTCTTTCCTTCTCTCCCTAAAATAGTTACATAATGTTGTTGATTTAGGATGACTTCCCAAATCCACACTAACAAACTGCTTTATTCTCCTCAATGACATTACAGGAATATATGTTCAGTTTACAAACACAGCATCTGAAAAGCATTTTGTTTTTACGTCAGAATCAAATATTCTGTAAGTCTTAGTAATGTACATTCACTTTCAAACTGTGCTAAAGTCTAAAGCAAGAAAAAGACAGGGCTTTAGTTAAATTCTTCTGCAGAAGCAGTATCACTGGAAAACTGAGGTACTCATCTCGTGAGAACAGACAGCAATGCTATGAAGATAAAGCAGTGCAGATAAAGTAAGCAAAAGCCAGTCTCAGAGATTAAGCTTAAAAATAATACCAATAACGCCTCCTAAGGAGTTTAAAAAATGGAAGCCACACAGCTAAGAAATTTAAAGTGAGACAGAACGTAAAAATAAAAGCAGGCTTCTTTCAATAAATCTCTCTCAGCAATCCCAAGATTTTGTAAGCAATCTCAGGCTCTCGGGGTTTGTCAGCAGTTCAGCAATGTGTTTATTGCTGGGTGCCAGCATTCAACTGCTCAGGTGAACAAGCCTGATCCACATCTACCTCTTTTCTTTCTTTTCTAGGAAAGTTCACGTTTAGCTGCCAGGTCACTTTAGATTGTTTTCTTGTCAATCATCAGGGCTAAAACTTCACAGTAAACCTCAGTTTTGATTACTGCAGGAAGGGATAACTGGAGAAGCTGCAGGGTGGGATTATGGAGATGCATAAGGAAGGTGGCCTGTGGAGCGCACACTGGTCATGAGCAAAATCTTAGCTATCTAGAAAAAAAGCTGTCCAAAAATTAGCACATAAAATACAGAACATGAGTTCAGTGCTGAGCCGGCCTGATTCTAATGAAAAGCTTACCAAAATCTGGATAAGCCGAATCTCTCAACTCAACGTAACAGGGAGATCAGTGAGTACAAGATTATAGTTATCAAGCCTAGATATTAAAATAAAATATAATCCGCAAGACAAATCCCTTCCCCCCCCCCCGTTGGATCGTCACACCTCTGTCCTTCTCCTGGGAATCTGCTTCTCTACGTGGTCCGACACCCACGCCGCCGGTGCTGACCTCCTTCCCACGGAAAAACGAATGCGACTCCTTTGGCATCTGTTAATTCTTAATGTTATTTAATGCTCCAGATCCTTAAATGTGGCCAGGAGAGGCCGCAGCTCTGCCCTACCAGTGCTAACACCTCTGAGCCAGCGTGTGTCCCCAGGATACGTGTAGTTATTTATAAACCATACGCAGGCTCTGCTGTCCTGACACGTGGCGCGCATGATAAAGCACACACAAAATACAAATTACAAGAAGGATGAGAAGGAGACGAAATGAACAGTAGTTAACGCAGAGTGCGCGCAGCACCCAGTCCTCCCGCCTCGCTCGGTCCGCGGGGTATCCCTGTCACACGCCCCCGGCCGGGCTGATCCCGCCTCTCCCGCCCCACGGCGCGGAGCCCGCCCGCTCCCGGCGGCGCATGCGGGGGGCGGGGGATGGGCGGACATGGAGCTGGCGGCTCCGGCGCTCCGGCGGTACTTGCTGCTGCTGGCGCAGGAGCATCTCGAGTTCCGCCTGCCGGTGAGCGCCGCAACGGGCCGGGACCGGGACCGGGAGCCGGGGCCGGGAGCCGGGAGCCGGGGCCGGGAGCCGGAGCGCTCCCGGACAGCGCGGTCCCGGGTGTGCCCGCGGGCGGCCGGACTCTGGCGGGGCCTCGCCCGCCCCGGCTCGGGGAGAGCCGGGGACGAAGGGCTCCCGGTCCCCCTCCGCTCTCCACTCCCCGCGTCCCGTGGCAAGGGACCCCCAAGCGTGGGGCTGCCTCTCCTCCCTTCCTGCCCCGTGGAGAACGTCTGCGTGGTGGCTTTTTTCCTTGCTTTTGGTGCTAGGAGAGGATGGCAGCAGAGTACGTGGGGCTCCACGTGAGAAGGGGAAGCTGTGAGGGGGGGGGGGAAATGGGGTTACAAAAATGCCTTCACAAGGTCTTGCTCTGGTGACTTTTAAAATTTGTTTAAACTACATTGCTGCTCCCGCCAGCGCAGTGTGGGTACAGAAAGCCCTGGGGGACGTGTGGGGCCAGCTCTCATTCCAGTGTCCGATGGACTGCCGGGGGAAGTGGTGGAGTCACCGTCCCTGGAGATGTTTAAGGAAAAGACTGGATGTGGCACGTTGTGCTATGGTCTAGTTGACATGGTGGTGTTCAGGCGTAAGTTGGTCTCCATGATCTCAGAGGTCTTTCTCAACCTGATTGATTCTGTGATTCCCTGTCCCAGGTGTTTATGGAGCTTTGCGAGGCGGGAGAGTTGCAGGAGTTGCATTTTCAGGAGGAAGCATGGTGCTCTCTGAAGCCCTAGGGCCTGTGACATGGGCCGGGAGCACATGAGCACAGGTCTCCAAGGCCTCGGCTGGCGTCCTGGTTGTGAGCCTTGCTCGCACCAGTGGCACTGAGGACTGCTCTCTTTCGGCTTGTGATCCTGAGTGTTTGCTTCCATGCAGTCAGAAGGGTTTGTGCCCCACTGGCCTGTGTGGGATTAGGCAGAGTAGAGGAGCTTCAGTGGTGGGATCAGAGCAAGTGCTGCCTCGAGTGCTGCACTCTGCTTGTCATTGACAGGTGTGTGATGGTTGGTTGCAAAATCTGGAGCGCAGTTTGTTCCCTGTCGCTAAATCTGTTTTACCTTACCAAGTAGTGTTCACAGAAATAATTGAAACAAAAATAAATTGTAACTTATTTGAAGATCCCTGGTCTTTTTTATGAATCCCCAGTGTTTTTTATGGGCCCTTGGTGAATGTGTAGTTTAGCATACACTCAGTTTCCACATTAATAAGAAAATCCTCTTGTTTGTAAATTTAACTTGTGATTATTTTTTTTTTCCCATGATAATTTATGGAGTTGCTATACACCTTAACAAATTTTGATACCCCAAGGGCTCTTCTAGGCACCATCTATAAGAGCTAGTAATATCCAGGATGGTATGTTATTGTTTAAAATAGTGCGAAAATGTGGAGTTATTTTGTTAGAATTGGTGGGTCATCATTACATGTGTTATAAAATATTTAATGTGTCTTGCATCATTTGTTTTCCTTGTTTTCATTAAGGCTTTCTTTTGTGCATTGATTTTTACTATTTGCTTTGTGAGACTGGAACATGAATTTATTTATGATCAACCCAGTTTGTCTTTAGGCAAGGTCATCAGATGAAGTAAGAAGATGATATGTAACAAAGTTTTTGTTTTATCACCAGGGTTGTAGTGGCACTTGGCCGATATAACTGCTGTAGAAAGCAGTTCCATTTCCCTTTTCTTGTACTCTGCTCAGCTATGTGCTTGGCTTTGTCATGAGCTGTGTTAAGGACTTAATGAAACAAGGAAGGACAGATTTTTTAGCCAGATGATCTGCTTGATCTCCATCTCTACCACAGCTGCATATGGGATATGAGAGGATTGCTTTTGTACTTCCGGTAGTGCTGGATCACAGCAGGTGAAGGTGTTTGTCAGAGTCCACATTTGTTATTCAGTGTCTGAAGTTACGTGTTTCATATTTCTTAGTTGATAAACTGTGCTCCATAATCAGGGATCTGTTTTTTGTTAGGTCACATACTTAGGGGTAAGATCAGGCATGCTGTTTTACAGCAAAGCTTGTGCCTAATGGACAGATCAGTGCATGTCGGATGTTTTCTTATCAATGTCCTCAGGCATTGATATGTTCCAGTGCTTCATTGTCTTTACTCTTGGAAGGATCTTCCCAAATTCTCATCCAGAGTACTGCTGTGATTTGAACCTCATTCAGTCATCTCCTCCATAATAAACGTTGAAAACAGATTATTATCTTTCTTTATCACAGCAACCTTTAGCATATGTAGCTGGTCTCTCCCAGCCTTTCCTTGCAGGCCGTGTTTTTTCTGCTTCTCATTTTTGTCACTTTCCTGTAGGTAATATTACCAGTGTTTGGAGGTGCCACCGACTCATGTGTAACATCTCAGGTGCTTTTTGTGCCTCAGGACCATACAGTGAAATGGTTACACATAATCATATTCTCCTGGAGCAAACCCCCTGTTTTTTCCAATGTTTCTTATGTCCTTTCTATTCAAATGGAAAGATGGAAATGAGTGGGGTAATGTCCCACTAAAACCATATGCTAGTGTCATGTTGGGTTTTCCTTTCCTCCATTTTTTTGGTGATAATTAATGGTAATCTTTTCATTTACCCACTCAGTTGAAATCTAAGCCACTATAAAATTTTGCCTCTGTGTTCTTTTGCCAGTATCATTCAGAGATTGCAGCATGTAATTTCTAGTATTAGGGCTACATGAGAAACATCCCCGGTGTTTACATCTCATTTGAGTTTGAAAGTCTTTTTAGTGCATTGTTTTTTCTTTTTTTCAGGTATTACTTATTAGCTTGTTTCTTGGTGGTTTGTTCTTGCATATGTTCAATTTACAGTCTTTTGATTTAGAGAAGACATCTACTGAAGAAAACTGTTGAGATACTTGTAAAGCAGAGAGGTAACAGAAATGGAATTGATGCTCGGTGCTTGTCCTGGCCCTGGGTCAGTGTTACTAGTGAAACATCATTTTTATGTGAATTAGGCAGATAAATATTTTAAGAATAGAGAGAATAATATTGTAAGAGGAATATTGTTATGAGAGTGCAGGGTTGAACAGTGAAGATTTAGATGAAAGAGAAAATATGAAGCAGGGGAATTTGATTACTGAAATTTGCCTAACAGAGCCCATTCCTTTGCCACTGAACTCTGAGAAAGCTGCTTTTATAGCAGGAAAGTTTTAATTTTTTTTCTGTTCATGAACAGTACATACAAGCTGAATTTATCTGTGAACTTCTGTCCTATCCACACAACTACTCTGAGTGTTTCACTGTTGGTTCCCACAGTAAAGTTGGTAGTACATGCCATTCTGTCTTCTCTTGCTGTCTCTAGAATTTTCTTCATAATCCTCACCGTCTGCATTAGAATTTGTGTTACGCTGTCCTTTTTTCCTTGTTTCCCACCTTTCTTTCTTCAAAACATTCGTTAATGATTCTGAGGCCTGACCTTTATATTTTCAATTTAGGAAATAACATCATTGCTCTCCCTTTGTGGTGGAAAATTCAGTGGTGAGCAGGAAATTCGTGTAAATGTAAGTGAGGATCAAATATTTTACTTGAGTGTGTGTATGGGATGCAAGTACGTTCTTTATAGTATTTTTGTTAAATGTGGGTAGCTGAATAAATTTTGAAGTTTCTTAGAAAAATCAAGAATCTTCCAAAAATGAGGAACTCTCAATTTCAGTGAAGACTCAGAACTTAAAAAAAAGATGCACAAAATGCACCTCAGGCTGTCTTCATTTAAGACTGTGAAAAGAAGTAGTGCCATCTGCTGGGAGGCTCTCCTTTCTTCTCAGAATAGGCGAACTGTGAAAACGTTCAGCAGCACTTTGGTGTTTGCATCTAAATCAGTGAGACAGAATATGGCTAGGAAGCTGTATGATTTTGGTCTCAATGCTTAGTCAGAGCATATTACTGGGAATAAGTTACTACTTTTGTGTAACGAGATGTTTTCCGTCTTTAGGGGCTGAATAATCTACAGAAGTGCAAACAAATAATATTTTGCTAAGTCAAAGACACAGTGGAAAAATGAAATACATAACAAAATTTCTCAGACATTCAAGCCAAGTAAACAGTTTTGCCTGAAATTAAATATTTATCTTCTGTATGATTACAGTCAACAGATTTATTTTTTTTTATTTATTTTCAGCATGCATGTTCTGTTTTTATAGAACAGAATTGTGTAGTTGTGTAATTCATCTGACATCCTCCAACTAGGTATTTGTATGATTTATCTTCTCTTTATTTCAGTCTCCATTTTGGATTCTCAATATTCCTTCAGAAGAGATGGCAAGGGGACTAATGAAACGGACAGTATGTGCAAAGTAAGAGATGGAAAATCTTGTAAAAGATAACTGAAGCGGTGGAATATTGTTTTGTTATGTTGTGGCAAATACAGATTTTTTTATGGAGTCTTCAAATAAACAGTCTTTGATTTCTTCTAGAATTGAGAAGATGTAACTGGATGTTATAGGACTCCTGTAGGACTGATTATGTAGAGTTCATGTTCTCTTTACTTGGGGTATGATCAAGTCAGGATAGTGTTCTTCACTCCAGAGACAGTACTCACTGATGTTTTATTGACCTTGAATAAAGTTTAGTTAGTGAGTTGTTTTAAAACATGTCTGGAACTAAAAGATAAAAACAATGATAAGTAAAAATTGAAAATCAAGTTTTGAAGGGAAAGATTGTATTACCCTCCCTTAGTGCTGGCATCTGAACCCTCAGCCCAATCTGCTGCAGCAGAGGTCCTTCTAGAAAATTCAAGAGCACAAGAATATGCCAGAGAGTGATTGTTCCGGCTGGTCCTTTTCAGAGGTGTCTGAATAATATTCTTTGCAGTGAGGCTTGTGAGAGAGGCTGTGGAGGTAGGGGTCAGGATGAGAGCTGGTGTAAGTGTGGTATGTCTCTCTGACCGTACTAAATTTGTGGTGTCTGTGCTGTGTTCTTCAGAGTTAGTTTGGGCCCTTCTGCAGAGCGTTGTGTAGTCCCTGTTGAGTCTTTATTTTGTCAGGTATTCAGTTTTACCTCCAGTGACTAGGGCTGTCCAGTCTTGCCTAAAGGAGTCCCATGTGTACAAAACTGTCCTTATGACAGTATGTTTCCAGTGGAGATCAACTGTACTGCACTTCAGAAAGCAGCCATAGGCAACCAATGAAGTAAAATACGACAAAGCAGCTTGTAGATGTTCTGTATACCATGATCTCTCAGCTAATGTATCCTTATTTTATGTAGAAAGTGTACTAGCCCACAACTTATTTTTCTGGCCTACTACTCGTTGTGGGAAGACATGTTAGTTTTAGAAGAAAATTTCTGGTGCATCTCCATTGCACTGCTAATCAGTAACAAAAGCTCTAAAGCTTTTCGTATATGTTACCAAATAAAAAAAAAAAAATTGTTAAAATGTCATTTTAGGATTAAAAATTAGTGCGTCCTTCTTAAGAACAAAAATTAAAACATTTGCTAAGAGTTAAATACCACACTTTAGTACTCTATGAAGTAAAGCCTAAATAAATTGGCCAAGAAGGTTAAAAGGAGTAAGTGTCTGTAAGGCATTTTGCCCCCTCCATGTGACTGCACTCTCAAAACCTGTGTAATTCCAGGTCTATATTTGAACTGTGGGGTCATGGAAGATCTGAGGGGGAGCTCTATGCCTCTCTGAAGAACTATCCAGTGGACAAGATGGTATGCATATAAAGAATCTGGATAATATGGTTCCTCTATACACTGAATAGCACTGCATCTGTACTAATGAAATGGTCTTTGCCTTTTTTTTTCAGCTTCCATATCTACAGTCAGACTCTACTTACAAAGTACATATTCATACGTTTAATAAAACACTGACTCAAGCACAGAAAATAAAAAAGATCGATGTAAGTAGGTGGTTAAGAAATCTTTGTTTAGTTTAATCATTTATGTTGTTCTTATTCCATGCTATCAGAGTTTTTAAGTTTGGGTTTCCTGAAGATCTGAAAGAAGTTTATTGCTTATGTCTTATCAGGTCTAAATGAGATCTTTGCGTCCGAATTAAAATTCCCTCAAAATTCACGACTTTTTTTTTTTGTTTCCCTAAACAGCCCATGTGAGGCATATACAAAGCCAAATAAAAATCACCGCTGATTTTGGCCCAGTGTGCTGGGGAAACTGAAGCTTATTGTCCAAAATGCTAAGATTCAAGTGGCTAGAGTTAGGTGCTAGACTTTTGGAAAATCTGCTACTTGATCTGCGCATTAGGCTTTTATTGTTGCAGAATGTGGAACAAGTGACTTCAGTTGTAAGCTGTGGATTGTGTGCTAATCTCCTGTTCTGTCGTTATGCTCTTTTCTGCACTTATGCTCTCCTCCTAACTGTATCAGTATTATAATTAGGAAATTTTTCTAAATTACCGTTGATTTTTTGTTCTTCTACATTCTATTTTATCAACTTTTTCTTTTATTTACACCATTTACAGAGACTGAAATTATCTGTATTAGTAGTAACCACTCTTTCCTGTTTGTTCAGTTTTTGTGTACATGAAATAATGCTGAGTATGTAAATTGGTGTAGCTGCACATCACTGAAACTTTATATCCTATTGTTCATCATCAGTGTTGTTTTTATAACTTGAAAATTGCATAAATAATATGCACCATTTATTTCCTCTAAAGTTGGGTTCTCTTCAGTTAATAAAAAGTGTTATGGTTCCTGATTTCTACTTCTTAATCATTTGAGGTATTTTTATTTACAAGAAAGGTATTTCAAAAATCCAGATAAAATTGAGAATTTTAATACTTATCTATCATTTCTCCTAGTAAAATTGTGGTGGGGTTTTTTGGGGGCAAGAGTTTGTTTTGGGTTTTTTTCTATTTAAAAAATTGACCCTGGTTTGACATTTTTTTTACTCTGTTTTTTCTTTATTGTATAGGCCCTTGAGTTTCTGCCATTCAAAGGAAAAGTAAATTTAAAGAATCCGGAACACATCTTCTGGATTTTGGAAGATTATGGAATGAACCCAAATAATGTTCCAGAAGAGCCCTTTCATCTGTATTTTGGTAGATGGGTGCGTGAATATGCTTGCTTCAGTTCTTATAAGCTTGTATTTTCAGGAAAGTGTTCTTCAATTGAAATGTAAAAAATTGTATTGACTTTCAATGGAAGCAGACAATATAATTATGTCTGAATCTGTCACTGCAAGTCTGGGAAACTTTACTGTGACTAGGAAAAAGTGGGTTTATTGAGCAGTTTGGAGGTGGAAAAAATGAAGTTGTATCTGGAAACACACCTCCTTGCCCTCCACTGAGAGAACTCAGCACAGCTGTGAGACTGCGCAGCTGTGGTGGTGTATTATGTTATTGTGGGACCAGCTGCAGCTGAAAGCACCAGCAGTGTGTTTCAGACACGTAGAACGATATACAGAACTATAGGTGCCTTGTGGCCCTGCTGAGTTGCGTCAGGCCCACTAGAGCATTCTGTAAGTGCTTCAAGAGGTCCTGACAGGAACCTCCACAGAAAGGTGCAGACTGATCCCTGAGGCTTTGGACATCAGCAGGCTCAGTGCACAGGCCCGAGGAGACACTGGCAGTGCAGGGCCTACAGCAGGAACCAGTTATAAAAACTGTCTGGAACCTGTCAGCTGAGGTCTTCACTACAAACCTTCTTGCCTGTTGGCCGTATGCACTCTAAAGCCGCCGCATCATTAGGATATCCTGAGGAAATTTGATCTGGTCTTTTATATTTTTGTGAGGAAAATGTGGCTGCCCGAAGGACATCTTCCGGAATGACACTAGCCACTGATGGGAATATGTGCTAGCAGTGTCCTGGGTAAAGGGCAGCTGGAAGGAGGGAGAACCACTGCAGAGGCTGTACAGCTATAGTCAGTGGCTTGTGTACAGGGAAGTCAGACTTCCAGGTGATCTGTTAGGACCTGTGAGTGTTCTCTCTGCATGTGATTAATGTGTAAGCACTCTGGGTTGTGACAATACTGTAAAACATTGCAGCTGTTGGCCCATCTGTGCTGGATTTCTGAAGTATTGAGTAAACTAACCTGAAAAAAATAGGCAAATGTATTTTGTTTACCCAGTAAGTCTGATGTTGACCAGAGATGGGGGGATAGTGTTGGAAGAGCTTTTGACCATGTCTTCTTGCAGATTGCATTGGTCTTCTTCAACATATTTTAGAAGTCTGATGTAAAAGTACTAGCATTTGGTCTTTGTTTGCTTTTCCATTAAATTCTGATCTGTCAGTGCTATCCTAAATTTAGATTTTGAGCATGGCAGAAGTACCAGTGAAGAAGGAAGTTCTGTATGACCTTAAGCATACGTGTGTGTATGTGCAATGCATGTGTTAACATGCATCTCTCCTCTTCTTAATTTTGAAATTCTTTTAACTCTGAATTGCCAGGAATTGTTTTTCTGATAGAATAATAGCAAAGTTGCTATAATAGTTATTTCTTCAGAAGAATTTTCTGTCTAAAATGTTTGTATATTTTTAACCTCTGTCTTGAAGAATTTATCTAGGTGTTGAACCAAGATATCTGTTGCTTGGAAAGAAGTCTGTCATATTTTCAGACATCAGAAAGCAAGGTGATGTGTTATGAAATGAAGTTACCTGGTTTTGGATGGTGTCACTTAAGCACATGTTAGCCTGCCTGCCTATATCTTGTATTTAAGACCTGACAGGGATTTTAAATGTTTCAACAGATTGCAGATGGCCAAAGAGAACTCATTGAATCCTACAGTGTAAAGAAGAGACACTTCATTGGAAATACAAGCATGGATGCCTGCCTGTCTTTCATTATGGCCAACCATGGGAGAGTAAAACCCAATGATGTTGTATATGATCCATTTGTTGGAACAGGTATATATATTTTTTTTCCACTGGTGGGAAAAACTGGAAGATTGTCTTATTGTTTGCACCAACTTTTACCTGGTGCAGTGGCTTCTGGTGCTCAGCTGATATTTGAGAGGATACCAAAGGCAAAATGGTGATTGTAAAATGAGTAGTCTATTAACTTGAAAGGGATTTTGGGGGAAGGAGACCAACTTCCAAAGCTGTAAACAGTTTATTTCACGCTTCTAAAAAATCTGTCTTCATGGTTTTATTTTATGCACCATGGGTTAAACACTACTCCATATGTGTTATGGACTGCCTAAGATCCAAAGTGACCAAGAAGTGAAATTTGGCTAATGCACTTCTCGCAGTCACTTTCAGGGGATTACAAGGAGTAGCATTTTAGAGCTGGCTATTTAGAGTGCTGAGGGCACGTCCAGGCTTTTAACACAGCGTAACAATAGTTAGGTCATAGCATTCAGTAGAGATCAGTTTGTTGTACCTTCATATCCTGTCTTCAGGATAATACTGCTCACACCACATATCCGCCCCCAGCTGAACTTTTCCTAGTTTATCCAGGAGGGGGAGCTTTTATTCCACATATGACATAAAAGTACATTTTGACTCAGGGAAACTGAGCTGTTGTGTAGGTGAAATAGCTGATCTGTTGTGTCAGGTTGTGCCATATAATCATAGCAGAGTATATTGTATTAAGCTACCTATAGTAGTTTCTTCAAAAACGTAACGAAGGCTGTGTTTTTGACCTGGATTTTAGAATCATAGAGTAGAATCATAGAACATCCTGGGTTGGAAGGGACCCACAAGGATCATCAAAGTCCAACTCCTGAACCTGCACAGGACAACCACAAGAGTCACACCATGTGCCTGAGAGCACCTGTCCAAACACTTTGTGAACTCTGTCAGGCTTGGTGCTGTGACCACTTCCCTGGGGAGCCTGTTCCAGTGCTCAGCCACCCCCTTGGTGAAGAGCCTTTTCCTGATGTCTAACTTAAACCTCCTCTGACTCAGCTTCTAGCCATTTCCTCCAGTGCTGTCACTGGTCACCAGAGAGAAGGGATCGGTGTCTGCCCCTCCACATCCACAGCAGTTTCAGACTGCAATGAGGCCTCCCGTCAGTCTCCTCTTCTCCAGGCTGAACAGACCAAATGCCCTCAGCCACTCCTCATACGGCTTCCTCTCAAGGCCCTTCAACATCTTCGTTGCTCTCCTTTGAGTGCTCTCTAATGGCTTAATATCTTTCTTATATTGTGACATCCAAAACTGCACACAATATTCAAGGTGAGGCCGCACCAGTGCAGAGCAGAGCGGGACAATCCCCTCCCTCAGCCAGCTGGCGATGCTTTGCCTGATGCCCCCCCGGGATACCGTTTGCCCTCCTGGCCGACTTGCTAGACTTTGATCAAGATGACCACGTGTGAAATGCGTACAATTAAAAATGCTTACATTAATGGAAGGATGAGGATAGTTTTCTGCAGAAATGACTGCAGAGAAGTTAGGGAGAGAGAAGACAACACTACAGGGTCACCAGTAGGATAAATTCTTAATAGCATGTATCTTCTCTGTACCACAGAAAACAAACCAGGGATATAATATTTACAGAAACACAAGGCTTCAGTGAACTCTTATGTTTTTGTCTTAAATTTTTGTTCTTATATGATCTGGGTTTTTTTCATGCATAATAATGTCTTATGAAATTTTCTCCTCATCCTTGTGCTTGTCCTTCTTTGAAAGGTTCAGGAAATTCCTCTACTTATCTGTGAGCAGTTTGTTTGATTTTGGTATCTGTGGCTTTGCATCTTCTTACAAAAATCTGCTAAATAAAATCTCTGAGAGCATTCATTTTCATGGGAGTGAAAAGAAAGGTAAAGACAGAGGAAGAAATATCACATGGAAATGGCAAAGCTATAGAAATTCTATATAAATGTTAAATCATTTTTCAGTTTGAAAGGTAACAAATACAATACAAGTATATAAAATTCTCAACAAATTACCTAGTGGTTTGAATTACATTTTTGGGGATTTTTTGCCCTGGATATCTGTAATATAAAGGCTAGAGATTAAAGCTGCATGAGTCTGCTGATTGGTTTAGAAAGAACATACATACAGGATTTGATAAGCATTTTGAAACTGTGGTTCAGATTTCTTTATTGATGCAGCTTTATTACCTGGCTTGGTTTCTTCCTGGTTTTTTTACACTGAAAATGTAAATAGTGCCGAATCAGAATGGCCTTGCAAAATGGTGCTTGCTTGTTGGAAAGAAACTGGTTTTTGCATAAGCCAAATCACAAGTCTTCCACGTTAGTGTAACAGTGGCAAATTGGCATTTGTCATTGGAATATGAAGTGCTCTTTGACCAGGCTGGCTTTTAGGAGACTTGATTCCCCTTCTTATTGTAGAGCAGAATTGGAACATCCAGGATTGTTTTTAAGTTCCATAAATGTTTAGATATTCTTTCCTCAGTGTTGGGCAGAAAGAAGCTTGGAGCTTTCTGGAAGAATAAATCAAGTCTTCTACCTTAATATTTTGTCCTTCCTCCTAGACAGTCCGTTCAGGTTATCTCAGTAATCTTGTTGATTATACCATTCGAAGTTATTTGTCCTTACTTTCTCTTTGCCAATTTGTGATACTGTGTAGTCGCAAATGACAAGAATTTTTTTCTTTGACATTCTGGGGGACAGTGCTATGACCAGTCCTCGTGTGTGCTGAAGAGATGGGGGAATAGCGTATGATAGAAAGGCATGAAGTTCTGTGCCACTGGCATTCTGCTAATAGTCATCAGGGGACACGGTGATTCCCTGATTAACCCTCTTAGCATGTTTCATATAGTAGATCAAAGAGCTGGCCCTATTACTGTATTTAAGTATTCATGCACCTTCTGTGTGAACACAATTGAACTAGTACCAGCTGAGATTTATTGAAAGCCTTAAGTTCATGTTTTCCTAACTTTTTTTTGCTTATGATTAAAACCATTCTTAGATGGGCAAAGTACTTTCTTCTTACTTTTTTTATAGGACTGGGTGGTATGCCTTACTTGGGGTCAGGGCTAGCTAAATTTGTCGTGACCCTCTGGAGGTACTGCCCATCTCTTCTGAGGGATTGCAGCCAAGAAGGGAAATGGGTGACTCCTCTGGGGTGAGTAGCCTTGCTTTTCTCTGATCCACTTCCTTGATCCAGGAAAAATCAGAGGAATTTGAAAACTTTTCTTTCTCCCTCACATTTGGTTTTTGTAGAGTTGGTTACCATATAGTGTAGGAGTGCTCTGAGATGGGATCCTTTTGCCCGTGCACACAGGGCATGTTAGGGAGGTGTTTGTGCTGAGTGGATGGCTCAGGGTAGTTCAGCCACCTGAAGTGCTTCTCTCCATGCTCCCTGTGAATGGGAAAACTGGTGTCATCAGCACAACCAGCTTGCACATTGTTCTCTGTGCTTGTCAACTCTTCATCCTGCAGCAATCTTCCCCTTTATTTTAGCAGGACTGTTGACACCAGTAATGTGGGGTTCACAGCCTTGTTCTCAGTCACTGTTCTGTTTTAAACCATTCTGCTGCTACATAATAACTTGACCACACAGGTATTTGGTAGTCTTCTACAGTCTGTCCATTGTTTCATTTGGAAGCTGTTAAAGAGGTAATGTCATTTGTTCATTTTTGTGGTCTGTTCAACTGCTATCAAGTTTAAAGGGGAAATCACACATGCTTTTCTGTTAGTTTTTTTTTTTTTTTGTAAATTAGTGTCATGGTTTGAGATCCTCAAAATATAATTCCCTAGTCTAAACCCCCTCCCCCATCTCAACCTAATATAAGATGTGGTTTTTTTCCAGACAAAACACGAGACTCAGAATGGGGGAAAGGGAATATATTACAATGACTGTACAAATAAATATTATAATACATTATACACACGATCACAACTATCTCTACCATGACATAAGTATTTACAATGGATCAGATCTCTTCTCCCCTCCAAATAAAAGTCCAGGAGGGAAGAAGGACAGATCCCTTCTAGTCTCTGAGCAGTTTCTCTATGGCAGCAGTCATCTGTCATCTTCACAATGCAGCAGCTGATAGCTGGATTTCTTTTCAATGCACACAAGGGGATCTCCAAGCCCCTTGGCCTGTCGTCTCCAAACGAAGGGTTTTCAAGACACAAGGGAGTCTCCTTTCACCCCTCTTGGCTCCCCTTCGACTCCAGGCGAAGGTCTCACCTGTGGACTGCCAGCAGGGACTAAACTCGCTTCACCACAGGCATATCACGAAATGCAGGGGCATCTTCGTGAAAGTCCCTTCCTCAGGGGGGTTCACCCCTAAGTCAGAACATCTTGGGCAGCATTCAGTTACAAGCCTTTGCCTCAAGAGTTCTACCAGAGCTCCTGTGCTCTGTTTCAGGCTGCCACCTTGGCAGCAGTGGCAAGGGGGGGGAAAGGCCAAGCTCACCCCCCTCTGCATTCCTCTCCGTCCCAGTCCAGCTTCAGGACGCTTTTGAGCTTCTCAGCTCCTCTCTCTCTCTCTAGTGCTGCATGTCCAAGACTCCTCTCCTTAATAGGAGTCCATCTCCCTCCTTTCTCAGAGGTCTCAAAGGAGTTTTGGGGGGTCTGGTTCAGTTCTTACCCCCAAAACTCTGTAGCTCTGCTGCTGACTCTCTTTTCTCGGCTCTCCTTCCAGGAGTCCTCTCTGCGGTGCATGCCGTTTGCTGTTTGGTTCAGTTCTTATCTGTCCCGGCTCTTAGCCATAGTCTCTGGACGCTGCTTCTGCTGCTGCTCTGTCTCTGCTCACTTACAGTGGAGAAAACTTTCTTAGCTTTCAACTGCAGGCACTTAGTCCAGCCTCACGCTGTTTCAAGTCCCCACAGCCCCCGCTGGGGGCTGGGGGGCCAAAGCCCCCCAGGGGCTTCTGCCCTCTGCTCCTCATGGCCTCAGAACATGGCTACCACCTCTACAACCAAACTACAACAACCTTCTCTTCTGTTTGCTTGTGGTATGTTTACATTTTGCAGGAGTGCAGATTGGACAAAACTTCAAAACTTCCAGGGGTCACCACCCCCTGGGGTTTTACCATTTTCTTAGCTTCAGGGGGAAAACCTGGTTCAAACCACTACAATTAGTAAAGCAGATTGCAATAGTATTAATCAAAAAAATGATTTTATTGCAGAATAAGTACACAGGCTGACAAAATAGGCAGCATACTCACAGAAAAATGCATTTGTATATAGTTTTCACACAGCATAACAATTACAGGAACTGTTTTGATGTTCCCTGTTTACATTGGACATATTTACATTTGCAAGGCTCTTGACCATTGTTTCTTACGCAGGGAATGGCCACATTTTACAACAAGTTTGATTTTAGACATAGTTAAGGAGATACTTTGAGAACAGACACAGGAGAACTGCTATTTGTTTGGTGATGACTTTTCAAATTGTGTGCCAACAATATGAAATTCTGTTCCTTGCAAAGTAGTATCAAAAGTTTTGGTTCATGTAATGATTAAAGAATCTTACTGCCTTGAAATACAGAAAACCATAAACAAACTCCTAAGAGCAGTCTCAAAAGATAAGGAGTGACATAAGGCATAGTATGATAAGGAGAATCAGGTATAGCAGACGAGGGACTTGGTGTAATTATTTCTGATTATAGTTGCATAGTGATTCTAACAGGTTGGTATTTTTTTTTCTTTTTTTAGTTTCTTTTTTTTTTTTATGCTTGGGTCTAGCTTTGGGTCTAGTATGCTACTGCTGTAAACTCCTGAAGTTCCTGAGGAAAAAATTCCAACACAAGTAACATTTATGACAGGAGTTTATATTTTTCCTCTTTTCTCCCCTGTGTAGGCGGCCTTCTAATCTCCTCAGCACACTTTGGAGCATATGTGTGTGGTACTGATATAGATTACAACACAATCCATGGATTAGGTATGTTACATATTTCTAAACCACTGAAATTTTGCTCTCTGGAATTTAGGATGGTAGTGGATGATACTTAGTGGATTTTAAAGCAATATTAATCTTATTAGGATTTATTTGGTCATGCTTATTTTTATTCACCAATTTACATGTATCCTAGATAAAATATTATCTTATTTTTAAGCAGGAAATATTTTAAAAAAGGAATAATAAAAACCAAACAAAATTCCAAATAATAATTACCACAGCTGTGTGCTGTCTTAACCTGTGATGTAGGAAGCTTCTCGTAACCTAACCCAGGAAGTCTAATCTTATTCTTACTTCTCTGAAAATCTGCAGTGCAAATTGTATCTGACCTAGTGGACAGGATTGTGACTGATGGTCAGAGAGAATGTCTAACAAAACAACATTTTTACAGATGTGTTCTGGGACACCCTATGCAGATGGTGCAGCAGAACTTTTCTAGTGTATTTTCATTATTTCTTACTACTTCTGAAGTTTACTGCAAGTACTTTTGACAGGTTTTGTAGTGACATTTAATTATTTTCCTTTAAATTAAATGGTAGAGTATATGGAAAGCTTTTCTTATATAATAGTTTCTTGCTGAGTGTGCTTTTTTCCCCCCACTCTGGGCCCTCTCCCTTCCCAGGCAAGGCAAGCAGGAAGAACCAGAAATGGAGAGGGCCAGATGAAAATATCAGAGCTAATCTCCGACAGTATGGTTTAGAGAAATACTACCTCGATGCACTGGTTGCTGATTCTTCCAGGCCAATATGGCGAAAAGGGATGCTGTTCGATGCAATCATTACAGACCGTAAGTTGGCTACTGCTTTTTGTTGCCTGATAGCAGTGACTGAAAGATTATTGCCTGTGTCTGTGCCCATGTGTGTTGATTTAATGTCTGGATGAGTGCTCAGATCTGCAGTTTATCAAAGATGGTTATTGAGAGCAGCACTGTGGAAATTGGATCTGCATTTGACATCTCTGCATTTATTTTAAGGGTAGTTATAAATGTGTAACAAAGCTGGCAGTAACTCTTTCTTCCGTGGAAAGAATGTTATGTTCACCAGCAGAAATCAATATGGCTGGAAATCATCCTTTGAAGAAGTCTCATTCAGTAAAAGCGTAACTTTATTGATGCACAGAGACTTCTTATCAGAATGGTACATGTTGCTGTTAGAACTTGATCTGCAGGACATTGGAGTCTGCCATGCAGCCTTGATGGACTTCTGAAGATTTATGTTAAATGCTTATTGTAATACTTCCAAAGAGAAGTTTTAATGTGTTTCCAATACACTTAACCACTAGAAGCATTAACATTTTGGAAGGATCCTTTGCTCTTTTAGCAACCTCTGTACTAAACACCATTTGTCATGTATGAGAGGGAATAGAAACTAAGGGAATAAATGAAAGACCTTGATACAGCAATTTCTGATCTCTAGTGCTGACTCTTATGATGAGACATTCATATTAATTAGGAATAGGGAGTGTGACTTTTCTTCGTAGGTTGCTTGCTAGTATTTATTTGGTCCATTTGGCAATAAAACAGTGTAGAATATTAATATGGACTCAGAACTGAGTGTGACACAATTTGTAAGACTTCCGCAGTGGTTATATTGGTGCTTCCATGATGCTGAAACAAGTCTCACAAAACCAGAGGTTTTGAACATGAAATAAGTATGTTATGTTATTAGAAATGTGCAAAAATGTGTGAGAAAAAGCCATCTCTGGTTCTTATGTGAGAGAATTACCATTTGTGTAATGTACTGGCAAGAAATTCCAATGTATTTAATTTCATTTTGAAAAAGGTTAACTAAGTGCTATAGGGGACATGTTCATGTCTGGCAAACAAAAGAGGATGGTATTATTTGTCACATGTTTCAAGTCTGAGGAATATCTTTTAATCAACAAAACAGAAAAGCATTGTTCTTTGTAGTGTAGCAAACTTCTAGGCTATTAGAAGCTCTTAGAAAGCTGAAGGGCTTTCTTTGAATCAGTTCTAAAGTAACCTTTTGGAGTAATAAACTTTGAATAGATCTTGAAGAAATTTCCCTTGCTGAGTTTTACTTTGTAAAAGCTTTTCTTTTTTTAACTTTGTATAAGCCACAGTTTATGCACTGTCATGTATGTATGGTATAATTGTGTGTTATTTGGACAAGGAATGAGGTTCTCATCTCTGCATTATGCATTTGCTTTGTCTAGCACCATATGGTATCAGAGAAGCTACTCGCAGAACAGGTTCACAAAAGGAAGCAGTAAAGTCAGTTGAAAGAAGGTAGGTGAGCTGTCTCATCTGTTGTAGAATATAAATGTCTTAATGGAAATCTAGTCATAGTTTTAGAATCTTTACTATTTCTTGGTCGGCTATCAACAGTTAAAAAAATAGTGGCAATATAAATTAAAGAAGAAAAGCCCTTTTTACTCTGTTTGCAAAACCAGTATGTCATTTCCTGAAATCATCTTGGTTTTGTTCTCCCTGCTTATCATTTGTGTGTGTTCAGATTTTGAATCCTATTTCTCACCTCTGTGAGCCATCATTACCTTTTATTTCCTATTCTCAGAAAGTTCTCTTCAGTCTCTGCAGGCTGCAAAATCTCTCTTTTCAGAGATAGGTTGTGGCTTCTCCACTGCCTGGCCTTCATTTTCTTCTGCGTTTTGCTCTAAATTGTTAAGAAAGCTGTTGTTAAGAAACAACTATTCCCAGTATACCTATGAGTCTTTGACTTCAGATACTAAAGATGATAGTCTGAAGAGCCAGTTATGGGAACTTGCAAAGTCATATTCCTCATATTAGAAGTTGTATTTCTGGATTGTCACAATTAGTTTTGCAAGTGTCAGATAGTACTTTTGTGGTCTGTTTTTGGTTTGGGGTTTTTTTTAGTTATTATTTTAAGAAATGTAGGTTTTACCCGTGCTTTTATGTTTGTTTACACTTGTACATTTTTTGTTTAGCACAGAAAATCACATCTTCGTTTCATCCAATTATCATCTAAGTGACATCTTTTTTGACCTGTTGAAGTTTGCGGCAGAATATCTGGTGATGGGAGGAAGATTAGTTTACTGGCTGCCAATATACAGGCCTGAGTATGTATTGTTGATTTCTGTTATGTTGTAAGTCAGAATGGCTGCTGCACTCTCACTGTGTTTCTTTTGGGGCACAGTACAGCTGGAGCTTCCATAGCACCAGCACTCAAGAGTAGTGCCCAGACTTCGTATTTTAAAACTTTGTGTGAGGAAAACCAGATTTTGAAATAAGGTTTTTGAATGGCGATAATTCCTGAGTATTACCAAACAGAAAAAGCCTTAGTGTGTCATTGCAAATGTACATCCAGTGAGTTGAGGTTTAAGCTTAGGAAATTAAACTTTCAAGGTACATATTAGAATGTGTTTCTCTAGAGTAATTGATAAAGATGTGTGACAAGGTCCTATGAAAAACATTCTTGGTTCTTTGGAGTTTGACACTACTAGTTTAGCTTTCTTCTGAGAAATAAAAGTCAAATGACCAAGAGATGGTAGTGAGAGGCAAGAATCATAAGGGAGCAACCCTGTTAAGGACGAGAGGGGCCAGCAGAGACTGCGGGATCCTGTCTGCTCAATAGTGCAGCCTGAGTTCAGAACTGAGTTTAAAAGGAAAGACAGCTGTTTGCATACCTTACTTAAGCATCTCTTAGATAGGTTTGATGGTATTTTTGTTTTGGCTTGGGGTTTTTTTAAACTGTTTCACTGTAAAGTGAAGAGTTCTGTAGGTTTTTCAAAGTATCTTCCAGATACAGATGTGCTCTGAAGGTAGTTTTTACAATGTCAGATGTTTCTATGTACAATCAAAATATTACTGATGAATAAAGTGGTGATTGTCCCTGATTTCATCATGTAAATGGCTTGTGCCAGTCCTGTATATCCTATATATCACACGCTTTGAAAATTTGGAAATCAAATGGAGCCATTTCTTTTACGTGCTGCTGTAACAGAAGAGTGCACTTAGCAGTTTGCATTTTTTTAATAAATGATAGAATTGGTATCTTTAGGCTTTTTTTTATTGTGAGACAATTAAAAAAACAAAGCAATGAATGCCATTAACAGTATTATAGCTAGTTGTTCAAAATGTCTGTCTATACATGCTTAGCCCCAGCAGACTGTGTGTGATTGTGAATTCTAAGATTTTGATGTCAATAAAAACGATTTGGATTTACTGAATTTATTCTGTTCATCAAGATACTAGAGTTTTTCTGTCTGCTCATTGAACTTTGATAAAAAACATGTTTCCTCACTTCAGATAACTTGGGAACTGCACATTCAGGATCTACTTTGGTTGCTGTTTTGGGGATGGCTAGTTAAGTTGCCTCATAAAAAGTGAATTTGTACATCCTACTGTGAATTGAAATACTGAGGTCACTATATTAGCACGGAATATTAGTACAGTCAGTTTATTTTCAGTTGTAATGCTGAACAAGGGAACAGACATTAAAACAAGTATGTAGGGGGAAGGGAAGATACTTTCTACTAACATATTGCATTATCAAATATCCCTTGGCAACACCTGCCTTCAATTTCATTTCTTGAGGTCCTTGTATATTACCTTAAATTAAAGCCAAAACTGGATTGAATTGGATGTCTGTTAAAACCACTGCTTCTGTATTCCTTACTTGATAAGGTTCTGAGTTTTACCTGAAAGAATGTAGAAATACATGCCTTAATGCTAACAGACAAGGCTTTTTAACAAACTGATAGTGATCTCTCCTTCTGCAAGATAGCATCTCACTCCAAAGTTTACTCTTTCAGTCTGACATTGAAGTCATTGTTGAGTCAGAATTCTTTTAATTCCTTTGCAGTCAGTCTTTTATAATGTTATATATTTATAACCTTTATGTATAAACTTTATTACATATATTTTCTATATATATTATTGTATATATAAAAATTTAAGATGATGTGGTGGAGTGCCTACCTTTGTAGGAGAAAGAGCGAGTTTGGTGCTACTAGATGCATCGAAAGTCTTGTATAATAGAAAGAGCAATTGAGAAATAATTTTATTCTCCTTTGTCAAAAGCATGTTCTGACGTCAGCTAGCGGAAGTAGCAAGTTGATTCCACATGAGAAGTGACTGAAAGGTTGTTTTGCAGTCTGGAAGTTTTGAGGCAAACAAAGAGGCAGTACTGTTTGGGGTTCTTTTTTTCTTATTTACAAATCTGTGTTTGGTATTGAGTTACTTGTTTAACAACTCACTGTTATCTTAAGAAATGCCAAGTTTTCCATCAGCACCTAGGCGGATCCTATTTTGAGTTGTGTTACATTTGTCTTCTCTTTCTCCCAGAACAATACCTTTACTTTGTAAAGTGCATTCGTAAAATCCACCTCTTCACAAGAAAAATGCAAAGCTCCTCTTTCATACCTTGTAAGTTGAAGTGATAGGTGTTTCAGTTGTTTAGTTCTACATTTTGATGTCTGACTCCTGTTGACTCCCAAGCATTGGAGAATCATGAGAGCAGACATTTTGTACAAAGTCATAGTCCCTGACAATACCAAAACCCATTTTCTGTGTTATGTGGAAGTAACTATTACATGACAGCGTATTATAAAAACTAAGACTAAATGACTGATCTATGTTTCAGTATATGGGAAGGGTGTCTGATCTCATGTTTATTATATTAGCTAGGTCAATACTTCTTGCTGCTCTAGTCCCATGCAAAGGTGTCTAAGTTTTACTTGGCTCCCTGCCAAGTCCGCAAACCCAGCACAAAAACCTCTGACAAAGAGCAAAGAAAAAAAAACCTATGAAAAATCCAGACCAGCCGAACTATATTAAAATAAATGTATTTACGTATATTACAGTCAAATACAGTTGAAATACTATATACAATCCCAAAAGGGAAAGGAAGGGGAAGGGGAAAAAAAAAACAACAAAAAAACCCAAAACAGATATACACAATCAAAAAAACCCCTCAGGATCTAGCAAGCTAAAGAATTAGCAAAAGAATATCTTACTACTTTCCTTGGGATAGCACAATCGCCCAAACACCGCCAACCACACTATCGGACTCCAGATCAGCAGGAACAACAGGCCCCGTACGCCCAGCCAGGCCCCAACTCCCCCACAGAAACGAGACCGGCTGTGGGGAATCTGATGTCTCCAAACCTTGCCGGAAGGGAAGAGAGGAAGAGGCTTCTCTCTCTGTCTATTTATGTGTTTGGATTACGTAAAGGAATAGGATGGAATACTTCCTTCCTTCCTTCCTGGCGGCCAGGAAGGAAGGCCTAAACTCAAAACCATTACAAAAGGTCTTAAATCTTTAAATTCCTCTTTCAGCAATAGAAATAGAAAGATTGAAAGCAATCTAGAGAAAGCACTTTCTACAGAAAATAGTATGCATGTGAGATGGGGCATTTAAAACACTTTAACTGCTTGCTTCTATAGATAGGATTTAATTGTAAGCCAGTGTTGCTACTATCCAATGTTAAATGATAATGGATTTTTTTTCTTGCCATTAGAAAAAGTAATTATGATGAGATAGGTTTGTAACACCAAATGTTGAACTCCAGGAATGTCACTGTCTATTAAGAGCTGGCTTAATAAGATTTGAAATTGAAGCATAATGGTCTCTTTTTAGGGAGCCGGAGTTAAGTCTCTTATTCCTGCAACATCATATACGTTGGCTGGAATATGTTTTTAAAATCACAGCTCCCATTGGATAAGTTATTATTTCTGGTTGGCTGAGATATTTTCTACTTGACATTATACAAGCAGCCTGTGTGCATACATTAATGTAATTTAAATACATATGAAAAAAGGGGGAGGGTTATGTCTCTTCAGTGTGAGCTTTTAATTTATTCTATACACTATATGTCACAAGATGATTGAAATATATGTTGTCAAAACTCTGGAGCACCGATATCTGAATTTCTTTAATCAGATTAAAGTGCATAACAACTTTCTAGTGTAAGCCTTTTTGTGAAGAGTCTGTAAGAATTTTGTTTCAGATACAAGTCTTCCACTTCATGAGCTTACAGCATTATGAATGTTAATTTCTTCCAGATATACAGAAGAAATCATTCCTCGCCACCCGTGCCTGAAACTTATTAGCAACTGTGAGCAGATGCTTTCCAGCCACACATCAAGGCACCTGATTACCATGGAAAAGGTGAAAGAATTCAAGGTAAGCTTGAATTCTTGATTATATTGTGTAAAATAGTAGTTATAGCATTCATGACAAGTTTGTGCTATTCACCAGTTGATCCTTATTTCTATCACACTTGAGTTTTTATGGTCAGATTTAGAGCTTCTGGAAAATTGGGTAGTGATATAAGGTTTCTGGTTTGTTTTTTTTTCCTTTTTCTTCTCAGTTTTTGGTAAAGTCTTCATCCCAAGCAAGCCCCTGAATAGTGTGAAAAAGATCTTTGAACTTATGGTTACTTGTGAATCCCATCCACAGAGATGCCTAAGTTTCCATTGATTTCAAAGTTTAACTTGATGCCCAAGTATATACTAAATGGCTTTGTGGGTCTTTCTGTACAGGTAAACCGTATTCGATTCTGTTACTTCATCTTTAGAGCTCTTAGTTTTTGAGATAATATTGAAGTTGTGAAAGTACAGTGGAGCACACTGACTCTTTTTTTGTTTTGGGACACACTAAGTGGCTCTCCTGAGGCACTGGGGTGAGGGAATATTGCCTTCAGGTCTCCTTTCCATTCTCGATGCTTCTCTCACTCAGTACTGTTAAAAGAGATGCTAAGCAACTGTGAGGCAAATTCTTAATGAAAATGCACACAGTGAGCAAGTGCTTTTAGTACAATCCTTGTCAGTTGGAAGAGCTGTTTCAGATGACAGGAGATACAGTCAAACTGCTGTGTCTGCATGGTGCTTGCACTAATAACACAGCAGGGTTTCAGTAATGTGCTCATAATGCTCGTGATAAGTGCAGTTCTCAAGCAACACCTGAATTTTTAAAAGCACATAGTTGGAGTCCAGTGTCAGAGCTGCCGACTTCACCAGTAGCAAACCAGGAGGGTAGATGCTGAAAATTTTTGACATGTGTGTCTCAGGGTTTTCAGGGGGGTTTTCTGCAGGAGTTTTATTAATACCAGTGCTGTAGGATAACATGTTCTAATCTAAAAAATATATCCACCATTCTGTGATTAGACTTTTGTCATTTGTTATTCTTGTTTTGTTCATCACCTGTTCTTCAGTACATGATTTGACAGGTTCATGTCTGGAAATGCTTAGCTCTGAGCACCTGAGAATATTTGGCAGGTTTACTGCTTAGATAAAACTGTGCAAGTGCTTATATTCAGGACTCCAAATGTCTGTTAGATAATCTGAAGATACCAGAACCCATGTATGGTTTTTGATGATGTAAAACTTATCTAAAGAACAAAATGCATATTGAGTCCTTAGCCAATGCCTGCCTGGTTTAGGGTCTTGTTTGGTGTCTGAGATTTCCCCACCTCCGTATCCCTTACTTGGAACATGGCTTTTCCTTTCTTAATATCCTGAGCAACCTTTGAATTGAATATTTCTTTGACTCACCAGATGTGATCATAAAATTCAATAGATAGTGTTTTGGCTGTTTTCTTAAATGAAAGAGTGAATTTTTATGAATATGCAAACATTTATGTTTCCAGACAGTTCCTGTCTGTTTTACTAAACTGGTCTGTAACAGACCCTCACAGCTGCCTTTTAATTCAGCTTAGTGCAGCACTTGCAAGTGGCTAAGAAGTTCTACGAATCATGTAGTGTCATTATGCAGTTCTTTGGTTTCCCCAGGGTTTGCCACCAATAAGGAATTGCAGATTTCACAGCAAATTTGATTTCACTGTTAACACTCTAAACTCTTAAATGAAGATGAATTCAGTCAGTTACTGAAATTGATGGTGCATTTTGTTTTGAATTGTAATAAAAAGGAGACCAAAATGAATGCAAAAAGTGAGTATGTCTAGGTGAAGTATTGGTCTATCGTAACTAATCATTAACATGAAGATCATATATGTTGAATTAAAATCCTCACAAAAGGTGGTATATAACTCACTGTCTAGTGAGCATCCAGTCTGTTCTTTTTAAGTTTACAGTGAAATCATGCCAACTGGAAAAGATTTCTTACTGAACTCAGTGTTGATATGAATAGGCTTTTCCAGCATATGCACAGTATGAGCAGAGAAGTTGTTCGTTTATTAACATTTAAAGCTTTTTTTTTTTTTTTTTTTAAATTACCGTTTCAGGCAACTTTTGCCATTGTTCTTCCCAGCACAGTGCTCACCCCAAAATTTCCATGTCACATGGTCGCTCCAGAGTTGTTACTGGTGTAGAATTTTTCCTGTTGAATTTAGCAGTGTCTGTTCCTGGATATGACCCTGTTGTCCCCGTTTTGGTAACTGGTCCGTTTTGTTTATAGCTGTATAACATTAGTACAAGTGGTTTCTGTAGCTACTGTCCAGTACCAGATGTGGAGTGGTAGGAAGAGGTGATAGGGCTAGGAAGGATTTTTTTCTTTAAACAAAAACTGAATGTGGGTAATTACCCTGGAGCCAAACTGAGACATGCTAGATTTATAAAAATCTTTAGAATATCACTTAATATTTGCCAAGATTTCAAGAAAATCAAAACTTTCTTGTTATCATTAAGCGTCCTCCTCTCTTCCACCTCTGTCATTATTTACTGGAGATCTGTAACACCTATTTTAGTGTTGTCTTTACAAAAGACAAGTGTTGAGTTGAAAACTCAAAGTAGCTAAAAGCAGTTTGGTAGCTTTTTGACAAGAACTTTGTTGGTTTGCAGTTGTCACAGAACTCATCATAAAACAGTTCAGAGCAACATTTATGTGGTAACTGCTGCTTGCAATTAGTCTGCTGTTTTGAGAACTTATATTATTCAAAATAAGAACCAAGGGTGATGATAAAGAATGACCAGAGATTAACAAACATCTCCTGTTCTGAATTTTACAAATAAAAGAAGAAGTCTTTGTCTTCTTGGTAGTGCTGACACACTAGGGAAAGAGCTGACTTAGTGCCAAGTAGGCTGATCATTGCTGATCAGTCTTCTAAATTATTTCTTGGGAAGTCTCACTGTTTTGTGTTAAATAACCAGTTACGCCTTGAAAACTACATATGGTTGTTTCAAAGGAAATGAGAGAAAAAAGTTACTCATCCCTGGATGCAGCTGTGTGTCACCAGCAGCACTGCTTATTTCTCTTCCAGCATGTCAAGAGAAGGAAAGAGACTGTCTTCCTTAAAACCCTATGGTTCAACTCCATTCCCTGAATTTAAGCTTTTTTTTCTTAGGAAAAAAAAAAGGAAAAGAAAGTTAAAAAACATCCATGTTAACTGCACTGGACAGTTAATGCGTTCGAGGGAGACTTGACACTGCCCCTGACACCTTCCCTAAGAGAGATCTCTTACAGCAGAATGTTCCTGTCATATATTTAGTTTGCATATTCTAACAATTTATGCTACTCAAGACAGAGAGTAACTGAGGATGTTTGACTGATTTCCTTACTGAAACAAGCTGCTGCTTGATGCCCAGGCAAATTCTAGTGCAAATTGTCACAATAAATTCTTTAATGAAGAGTTTTTTGGACAAGCATTCCTGGTGTTCAAGTTGTACCCATTCAGCTCCCTGATACAAAATGTCGTAATTTAGAATTTGTTTGGAAATCATTAGTTTCTGAAATCCAAGAATTTATTTTACTTTGATCAATTCTCATGTTGCCCATAAAACTATTTTGACTAGTAAATGCTAACAGTGAGTGTTACCTCCAGGTAGTTCAGGATTTCTTTAATTTGTTTTTCCCTCTTTTAAAGAACAGTTCACAATCTGTTGATTTTTTTTGTAGTTCTTTTTGGTTGGTTGGTTTTTTGTTTGGTTTTGGGGTTTTTTTTAAGCAATCACCATCTTTATTAGGCAGTCATGCCTGTGCAGGAGAGAGGTAGAGAATGAAACCTCTTAAACTGGAATTATTGTGATGTGGGCCCGGAGCTTCCTTTGTAATCTCTCCCAATAAACCCATGCATAGCTGCAGATCTCTCATTTAGTGAGCAGACTTTTGCAGAGCTTTTGATGAGGCCTGGATTTTCAAGATAGATTCTGCTGTGGAGTGGTGCACCAAGCCTGTTTCCAGGCTTGAATACAGATGCTCCTAATTACACCTGTGTCTTACTTGAAGTTTGTTCTCTTACACAGTATATCCTCTCTTTGCCTTAATCAGCTTGGGGATAGAGGAAGGAGAAGTTTCTTTCCTCTTTCTTCTCTTCACCCTGAATCAGCATTTTGTTTCTTACAGAATCAAGATGAATGGTGTACACATGTGTGACCTCTTAGAGGTTGTGGGGATTATGCTATTGAGCATAATAAAGTGACATCAATAAGCATAACACTGTTTTTAGAAGTCCTATCAGTTTTCTTTAGCACTCAGGTCAAAGTTTGATGTATTGTTTAGCTTATAGCATTGCTAATGTTAGTTGACAAGTAATTGTGTAAAGCCATAATACACAATGAACTAAACCTTTGTATATGTAGTGGGACAGTTTTCTAAACTATGTTGTTGGCTGGTGTCAAATATGTATTATGTATAGGGATTTACTGTATCAACTTTCAGAGGTATATGAATGCTGCACAAAAAAATTTTCTCTGATTGTGCTTCAATAACTGTAGGAACTCATTTTAGCTGACTGTGTTCCTCTTCTGTTTGTACCTACCTTAGTGATGGAATTCACCAGATGGCATTTTTTCTGGAAATACATGTTTTCCTTTATAAAAGTCTGTGCAGCATAGTACCTGTGCTCATTCATTCATGTAAGGGTAGGATTCTCGTGATGCCAGACGAGATATTTTCAGTGATGCAGCGCTGTTAAAACTGACAACTTGCATAATTTTGCTGTACAGAGTAGAATAATGGAAGTTTGAATGAGTACATTAAGAAACACAGACAAAAACTAACATCACAACCAAAATCTCTTTGTCTGCTTACAGCTTGTATTTGATTAATGTCAAATGAGAATCCATGGCATATGGAATTTAATTTCTGTTAAATGTTAAGACTTTGAAGTAGAATGTATATGTTCTTGTTAATCCTAGTGGAAACCTTAGCATTCTATTTTTTAAATTCTTTAAATCAGTCTAGTGTCTTAAATGGGTGCTGTTGAATTGTAAAAAAAACCTAACTACTTTACCCTTACTTGTAAGTGTTTGAAAAAGTCTGGAAGCAAATCAGTGGCAATACCTGCTGAACATAACTGTCCTGAAGTCTAATGCTTGCATTTTGATACCGTGCAGGATCAAGATGAGAATTCTTACTTGTTGGATGGCCAGTATATGCCATACAGGGGACACAATTCTTTCCGTGAGAAGTATTTCAGTGGTGTGACAAAGAGGATTGCCAAGGAAGAAAAAGAAAATCAGAAGTAAAATATAATATAAACAGATTAAAAAATGAGAAAAGAATGGAGATCGTGTTTCTTTGTAAGGACATCTGGATATGAACATTCATTTGAATGTTTCAGAAAAACAAATACTGCTTTTAATTT